GTTCCTGTACAAAACCATCTAGCACTTGTCGAGTGGTTCCGGGGTGCTCAGTATCTGCATAAGAAAATTTGTGACAATACACAAGTTTATCCAATTTGCATCGAGTCTCGAAAGCAAGCAGCTTCAGCGGTGGCGTTTTGCGCTGGGCAGGGGGGGGGGGGGGTGCAGCGATAGTGCGAGAGAATTCGGTCTAATCAGTTTTGCAGTGTGACACGTGCGTTCTTGCACAGTCCCAGTTTAATCATTCGCACTGCCATATCTGCTAAATTGTGGACTGCAGATGGTAAGGCGTGGTGGGAAAATGACGAAATTCGTTTTCATATATGAACGATTGAAACTGCGTGCTAGTGAACTGTGGTCCATCATCGGAAACCACGGTTCGGGATAGGAGAACCTTACTAATTATCTATTGTAATTTTTCAACAGTCCGTTCCACGCTGGCTATTTTCACAGGGCTTTCCTCTATCTACTTCATGTGTGAGTCACCCGCAATGACGACCATATGTCCATCCATCGGGCACGCATGATCCATGTGCATCCTTCACAACTTTTCATTGGTTTCCGGTCATGACACAGTCTCCATGGCAAGTGGCATGCCGCAACGCTACGCACATTCAGGGCAAGTGTTGAGTACACGTTCATTATCTCGTTCGAGCCCAAGATACCAAAACATTGAGTGGGCCAACTTTATCGCCGTTATGTCTTGATGAGTCTCATGCAGAATGCATAGTATGGCATTACGGGCGGTGGCCGGAATGATGACTTGGTGGCCCCAGTATACAATGTGAATACTGTACACCAGTTCGTGCCTTTTGAAAAAGAATCTGTGTGAGTCTGGATCTGACCTCGGCAGTTTCCTAGGCCAGCGCACCCGAAAATAGACAGTGTCGTGCTTGAGAGTGCTATCTCTTTTTGTAGCCCGCACTAAATCACTGGAAAACATGAGAGTGGTGTCGAGCTAATCAGCGATAAGTACGTACTCACGGACGTCGTTACTGAAGAACTCCATGGTCTGGTATCGTGCTGGTCGCTTGCCGGAAGGCGGCTCTGGGCTTGAGCTACCGGGAGGGTTTCGCTGTCTCCTATTCTAACTTGTACATAAAGACGCTCAGTAATAAAGACCTATGTTGGATTCATGCCGCCGCCAGAACAGGTACCGGCTTTTCTGGGCTGAGCGGTCGAAGCAGTGGCTTGCGATCTGTAATTAGCGTTAAACTGTTGCCGAGAAGGTACTCAGAAAATTGGTCACTCCAAGCAACTTCCAGTGCTTAACGCTCTATTTGTGCGAAATTCCGTTCGGCGGCAGTAAGACTGAGCGACCTCAATGCAACTGGCTTCTCTCCGTCGACCCCGTGGTGTGAAACTGCGCAAATATCGTAAGACAAAGCGTCTGTTTTTAACACGAGGGGCTTTCGCGGATTGTAGTGCGTGAGAAACTTGGCATCTTTGACGAGGTTTTTCGTCACTTCAAAAGCGGCTTCTTGTGTTGTTCTCTACTGATAACGGCCATTCTCTAACTATACGACGGTGAGAGAACTGTGGAAAAGTTTACAAGGAATGCATGATAATAAGTCAAAAAGACGATGAATGCCCGCAGCTCTGATACACATGTCGGCCTAGGCGTTCATGATACTGCTTTAATGTTCTCAATTTTTGGCAGAATTGATCTGCACATATTCGGTGCCGAAGACACTCAACTTCTATCTTTCGTCTTTTGAATTTGCTTCAAAGATGATTTTCACCGTAGTCTCCACTCTGGAAGACTTAGCGAAACTTTACGCAGTTGTTTTGCTTCTGCGTCACTACCACGTCATGCAAGTCAACTTCAACGCCCGGTAGTCCTTTAAAAATGCCTTCCATTCGTCTCTGAAAAAGTGCTGGGGCGGATGCCACAACGAAAGGGAGGCGATTGAAGCAGAATAGTTCTAGTTGCGTGTTAATTACTAGAAGCTTCTTTGCGTTGTAATCTAAAGAAAAGAAAAGTGAGTGTAAGCGTCCTTCATCACAATACTAGTGACAACTTCACCGCATTTGAAGTTGGCAATAATAGCTAGGATTTTAGGCAACGGATATTTTTCGGCGGGGCAAGCAGAGTTCACAGTTACGTTGAAGTCACCGCAAAGTCGCATGGAGCTATTTTTTTCACTACCGGAAGAAGAGACGTTGCCTAGTCAGCACAAGCAGCTGCTGTCAAGATTCCTGTATGAACCAGACTATCTACTTCGCTAATGACTTATCTTATCGGGTATGGTATGGAACGCGTCATAAAGACACAAGGTACGACACCTTCGCGCAAGCGCAACTCAACGGGCGGCCTTTTTATTAATTGTAGCTCTTCCGGGAACAAATCCCGGAACTCCTCACATAACTACTCAACTTATGACCCATGCTCCGTAGAGGATAGCTTACTGTGAGCAGCCTTGATAGCTTTGATGACGTTCCGCCCACAAATCCGGTCCAGAGCATCTCAGCACGACCAAGGTAGCTTTCACTGTTGTCCCGCCGCATATTACCGACATGTTGAGCGGAGCTTTGACGGGTAGTTGACGAAGAAAACAAGTTAGTTGCAACGTATTCTTCTTGAACCGAGGCCAGTGATGTCGGTATTTGGCTTTGGTGGACCATGTTATGTTTCTTATGGGGAGCCTGTGTTTACTTGTATTCGGAGAGCCACGTCATCTTAGTTCATTGTGCAACAAATTGGCTGGATCTTGTTAACCGATGCCATGAGCATATTGAGCAGAAACTGTTCGTAGTCATTATCAAACAGCTGGCCTTGGCAGTGGAATAGTTTGCTTTGACGATACTGGTGCTGCTGGCACAAAAGGGCTAGCGGCCCTTGCTTCTTACATGTGAAGCATTTAACAAAACGGAACTTGAGTTTCAGCTCTATATGCACACTTTTGCCACAGCATGGGCACGCATTCTTGCAGTGCCGGAAGCCTCGATGGTTGGCCTTCATGCTTCATAGTCTTAGCGTGCACAATCTTCGTGTTTTGCACGCTGGTCATGTGGTCCACGTTTGCCGCTGCAATCTCTGTGGTGCACGATGCCTCTTCCGCCTCCTTCAGCGTGAGTTTCGTTTTTGACAATAGATGCCGGCGAACACTCGCGTCACACAGTCCACAAACAATGCAGTTCCTTACCGTCCTGTCGAGGGCATTATCAAAATTACACCGGCTTGCAATCTTTAGTTTTCCACTATAAATTCGTATCTCGGCTCTCCTGCAAGCTCATTTGCGAAGAATTCATACAATTTTGTGATTTTGTTGCAAGCCGGAGCAAATCGCTCTCTCAGGAACTTCATGACGTCAGCGTATTTCAGGTCTTGTATCGTCGCTGGCACGCAGCGTGTAACCGACAAACCCACTGTCTTGGTGCTTAATGCCGTGACCAGACTTCCCCCGCGTTTCTTATCGTCCGCGACGTTGTGAACCTCGAAGTATGCTTCCAAGCGCAGCTGCTAATACCCCTGTCACAAGTGGCCCCTTAAGTGCACTTTGAGTGAGTGCACCGTCGCTCACAAAGTGTCATTTTGGCGGCTCGCTACCACACGAGAAAGCGAAGTGTATTTCGGAAATGACAGCAGTGGCAATTAAAGAATTTCCAGCGCAACGTATTGTTGTGATTTTCGTGCCTGTGTCTCATCGTCAGGCTACGCTGTCTTTGTGGAAGTGGCACCTAGGGCACATGTTATCTTAATGACTAGCAAACAACTCACACATGCGAAAGTGTACCTTGAAGTAAACAACGCGATGGATGCCGCCATTGCCCAGCATCTGCTGCCGCATCCCCCTAGCAGACATGCCCGCAAACTGCCTGACAGTGAGAGTAGAAAGTTTTCAAAAGACGATAATCTTTCTTGGGGATCTTCGACGAAACAATTTCGGTCTGTATCTGAATTTGTCTGTTTGTCCGCCATAACGACGCCTCAAACGGCATCGAACGGCCAACCCCATTAGCAGCGCCCACCAATGGTGCTCAAGGTTTAGCGTTCATAGTTGCGCGATTGTAAATAAAAAAAAATGTTGCGCATATGTGAGGCACCGTTACAACATGTCTATGTTTTGTATGTCTGCCTTTATACTAGAAGAGGACACACACAAGTAATTCTAAGGACAATAGCGTTCAACGCGCTGCGCTGGGAGTGCAACGCGATGCTCAAGAAGATGTTTCCGACGCTTTGCTACAACGGCATGGTGGTGGCACCTGCCCGTTGCTTTGCATTCTACATCTTATCACCTATATGACTGGCGCGCATCTTTCTGCGCGGCCGTGCATGCCTTCGTTTTCGAAGATAACTGCCAGATGGCGCTCGTGTTTAATGTGCCTAGATGCGCTTGTTCGCTTCCGTTACACGCTCGAGGCACTCTAATGCAGCAGCTCTTTCAGAATATCTTTCACTGATTTTCTTGCGCAGAACATCAAATAAACGTTTTGTTCACTCTCTTCATACGCAAGAGTATCGTCTTTCGACAACATTTACAGTGCAACTGGTAGATTTGGGCTCAATCTTTTTTTGTATTTTTTGACTTGCTGTATCTGATAGCAGAATTTCTCATAACAAAAACAATGGTTTCAAAGCACAATAAGCATCGCTTAAGGCAACACCGTATTTCGGCACATGCCACTGGGGCGCATGCCACTGGTGCATGTTTTCCCCAACCCCACTTTATGAACTGGGGTAGGGGAACACATTTGCCGGAAAGTTTACTTTGCAGCGAGTAACACTTAACTTTATTTTGTGGCAGCGTGCAAATTACCCTCGCGACTAAGTGTACTCGCTCGAAGAGCACTTAAGTTGTCATGTGTGACAGGGGTGTAAGCCTCCTAGTTTTCCGCCTCCTTATGAAAAGCTGATGGCGGCGCGTGCGCAGCCATGGTCGCAGCGCGACCAATAGACCGATCCCACAGGCCAGTTTCGCGACGCCACCGCTCCCGCGGCAGCCGCGGTGCATGCCGGTACTTGTAGTCGTCCGGGCGCACCAGCCAACCGAAGTGCCTGAGCGTTCCCTTTTCGATAGATTTTTCGGTCGTGTGGAGCCGTCTTACGATGGGAGGATTTACGTGCTGTGTTCCTGGATGCTACAACAACAGCACAAGTGATAAAGGCTTGGGTTTCTACGTCTTTCCTAAAGAGCAAAAGCTTCGGGAGACGTGGATTCAGCGTATCAACAGGGCTGGACGGGGCGGCAGGTAAGACATCTTATTAATTGTATAGTGGCGCTTTGAAACTAAATAAGCGTATTGCGGTGGTTTTTTTTATGTGAATGTTTAATCATGAAGCTTAGCATACCAAAGAATATGATCTTTGCTCACTCTGCCTGCGTATACTCTTACCGGATAGCTCAGCCGCGGTTCGCGGTTGTGCATGCCGGTCATTTTTTAGCGCATCTTCCTTAGTCTAGCGTTTTTTGTTACCGCTGCGTACTAATATTATTATTATTACGAGTTGTAGTGCTGAGGTCTTTTAGTTTTCTATGTTGCGCAAGTGCAGCACCGCGTATGCGGCTTGCGTTTTTTTTTTTTACAACGCAAGTGGCAAGCATGCAGGCATAAGGGGAAGGCAAGCTCATTGACGAGGCCCTCCTAATAGCTCTACCGTACATCGAGACCTTACTTTTTAGAAACGACGTAACGTACTTCACGGCACGCTTGCAACAACTTACCCAGAACTCGTTGTGCCAAACGGCGATTAGCTTTCGCTGATCACCCTCGATACAAACGGTGCCTCTGTAATCTCGTCCTTTCCGTAAAATAGTTATCTGGTGCATGCACGTGGCCGATTTCGCTGCACCTATGCAGATGAGTGGCACAAACAGCTGTATAATTTACCTGTGTGTGGCGTTGTCGAATGAGGCTGAAAATTAAAATTACATTTGTCATTTGCCCTTGACTGATATGGAACTTTTTGTACGTTAATCAAGAGAAAGTGATACTGTTGTCTTGCAGTGGTAGCATGCAGACTGGACATTTAAAAGGAACCTGAAAACGCAGTAGGTGATGTTCAGTGTCATATGAAATAATGCTGGAACTTTTTGTGCTCAGGTTCTCCAAGTTTACGCCTACCACGGGACACCGAGTATGCGGTGCCCACTTCGAAGGAGGAAAAAAGACTTACATGAACAGAGTGCCCACAATCTTCCCGCTGAGACCGCAAAAGGTGGAAAGGAGGCGACCACTCATAAGGACACAGGTAATTTGAGCGCAAGCAATGCAGAGAAATAGCATTACGTTGTTGCATATGCACCACTGAATATTTTGTTATGGCTTAATGCAGCCAATGGCTACTTAAGGGTTGCGCTACTGCGTAAAAAAAGCAATGATGCCGAGTAAACTTTAACTCGTGTGAAGGTATAAAATGCAGTATTGGAAATCTCACCTGCAGCTGCACAGTGTGTTGTAAAAATCACTGAAACACATGGCTTTCTTTTTTCATTTTCCCCTGACAGCCGGAACTTCCCAACAGTCCAACTGTGGCACCCCAGCACGACCCAGAAGTCTCAGGCTCTGCCATCACTAGTAGCAGCAGCGACAGTGAAGACACCGCACAGCAAAGCACTCTACTCATGGACCATGCCTACAGCAGCCAAGAGTCAAGCTATGACCAGCTTGCCAAGAAAGTTGCTTGCCAAAATAATATAATAACTGAGCTAGCAGAAAAGGCTGAAGCTGCTTACGCGCATGTTGAAGAGCTCAACTGCCAGCTAAAACGCTCTCAACAGGACCACGCTGAAGCAAAAAAGCTATGTGACCGCCTTCAGCAGAAGAATAGGTGCTTGCGGCTTGAGCTATCCTGTATGCAGAAGAAAGTCAAGAGGTGCAAGGCTGAAGCTACACAAAAGATTGACATCACGTATGAAGCCCTTGTAGAAGATGAAAAGAAGCTGCGGTACTACACTGGCTTTACATCCAGAAAGTCCTTCGACAGTTTTTGGTCCCTACTTGAACCAGATGCGAAAAAGCTGCGGTTCTGGCAGATGAAGGAAACGGAGAACGAGGACCGGAACTTCATCCTGCCTTTGAAGACACAGCTTGCGCTCGTCCTGATGAGGCTACGGCTGGGCCTTGACGGCCTTGACCTTGCGTACAGGTACGCTGCCAACGTTGAAGTGTTTTTTTTTTTTGCATCAGTACTCATTTTTGCCTTTGCATAAGGTCCAAGTGGAGTGACTAATGAAACTCTGTTACCATGCCAATACATTTACGCGGGCATACTGTGTATAATGTTATTTATGAATATGCTGTGAGGGAAACAAGCATAACCCAATCAGCCCGAAAGGGGCCATGAAGACAAAATACGAGTTTGCTTTATTCAAAAGATTTGGTATTTTGTAATACCCTTAGTGCTTGTCCGGGAGCAAACGAACTTTCATTCACTGAGAAATTCAAGTTTAAGCCAAATTTCAGTGTTCCTGCCGAGCGTAGCTGGTTTTGTTAGTTACTTTGTGCATAGGGGGAATGCAGCATGCTGTGTATTCGTACGTTCCTCAAAATATCAGCAATGGTATGCAGCACTTTTTCACTTATCGTTTATAATGAAAATGACTGGAAGTAACAAGGTGCTTACACAAAAGGAATTCAGTACCGTTTAAGCATCTTCTGCAATGACATCTTCATTGCAACCGTAGGTTCTTTTGTTTGTGCTGCAGAAAATTACTGATGCGCATTTTTTGCAAATTTGTTTTTCGTACAGGTTCGGCGTTTCTACGTCAACCGTTTCGAGGATCTGGGTAACATGGCTGGATTTTTTGGACAACAGGCTTCGCCAGGTATGTCAGCACCAGTTATCTTTTTTTATTGCCTTTTGTTTGTGGTCTCTGTGATGGCCGCGACAAATTGCAACATTTATGGGAAGGGAGAAAGGGGACTGGATGGAATTTTAGGTATAAAAGGCCAACTGTACACTGATCAGTCGCGTAGCCAGGGTTCTATTTCAAGGGGTGTTTGTCAGCCTTCCCCTCATGGCCAGATATATTAGCCCCCACTACTGCCTTTCTGTCTGTCAAGATACCTGCTAAGAACGTACAGGTAATTTAATTCCCCGAAGCATGCTTTTTTAAGCTTACTGCAAGATTGCTCAGCTTGAACACCTTGTGTTTGCATTCTAAGATGGATCGATTGAATTAAAGTAAATTTCAGTAAAACTACTCGTTAGGCAGTTGGTGCACGCTTGTAAAACCCAGAGCGCAAAAATACAACACAGGCGAAGCACAATGGGACAAGCACTCACTCTCAGCTAAAAATTATTGGAAGCAACGTCACATGTCACCTCACCTTAAATGTACTCATTTCACTTTTTTTATTCTGCGGGTTGCTACATGGCTCAGTGCCCGCGGCGTTGTGCTGCCCAAGGATGCGGGTTCGATTCTCGGCCGTGGCTTCCGCTTTTCTTACGCAGGCAAAAAGCGAAAATGCTCGCATGTTCGAGATTAAGGTGCTCGGTAAAGGTTCCCATCTGATCAAATTAAACTGAAACCCTCCACTACAGTGCACCTTTTAACTTATGTAGTGCCTGTGCATTATAACTCAATAAATCAATCGATGAACCTTCTGGGTCTTACAGCACATGTCCAATGTAGTAAATGATTTTATTTATATGTAACGATGCTTCCAAAAAAAGTTTTGTTGAGAGAATGCTTATCCCAGCATGCTTCTCGTGTGCCCGTGTGTTTTTTGCTAATTTTTAGAGCATTTGTAGATTCATTTGACAGTGTTACAAGCTGTGATGACTCATCTTGCGGTCTCTACTGCAGAGCAGTGCCAGTACTTGTGGCAAAAATCAAAGGTGGAGAAGGTGACTTTTTAAATCGTACATTAAGAGCAATGGGGAGGTTCATGTGCATTAGAATGCAGTCTTAGATCCTTCGCATAGATCCACCACTCTAAGAGCACTCCCCCCGCCCGTTCTTAAACCACTGATGATATTAATGTAAAAAATATGAAAACCCACTTTTCCTTCTTTTTTTCAGGTCCCAACTTGGATGTCTCCCCACCTGTGCGACAAGTACAGGCCACAAGCTTTCACTGACAAGGGCTACACCACTGTTGACGGCATCCTCGACTGCACCGAAATTTTCATCGAAACCCCCTCGTCATTCCGTGTACAGAGTGAGACCTATTCCTCGTACAAAAAGCACAATACTGCAAAAGGGTTAGTTGTGTGCAGCCCGAACGGCTTTGTTATGTTCGTGTCCGATCTTTCTCCTGGGAGGCTGTCTGACAAGGCCCTAACAAAGGCTTCCGGTGTGTTGGAAAAGTTCTCACCAGGGCGAAGTTTGATGGCTGATAGGGGGTTCACCATCGAAGAAGAGTGCAAGGAACTTTCACTGCACTTGAACATTCCGCCATTCATGGAAGGACGGCCTCAACTGTCTGAAACAGATGAAACTGAGACAAGGCTTATTGCCAGTGTGCGCATACATGTGGAAAGGGTCATTCGGAGGATAAAGACCTACAGAATACTCTCACAGGTGTTTCCAAACAGCATGTCTGGACAACTGAACAAGGTGTGGCATGTTTGCGCACGCTTGACAAACTTTGTGGGTGAGCCATTGCTGTGAGCAGATGTGAGTGAAGTCTGCATGTCTGCTGATAGGCTGCGCCAGTTCGCTTGCACTACATTTGACTACTTTTTTGGCCATGCAACACAGCCAGAAATGGGAAGGATATAGGCCATTGTGCCTGTTCTAGGAACTGCTCACCGTCTCTCCAAGCTTTTGTATTCACCTTAGCCCAAAACAAGGAACAACCCAATCCCTTCAGGAGGGCACGTACGAAGAGCCGTATCCTTCCCGTGCACATTCAAGCATCATAAGAAATGTCCCTGCCTAGGTTTTGTATTCAGTTTATTTGCTTTGTTTACTTGGTCATTCCCTTATTCTCTAAATTTCTTGAGAACTACGTTTACTTGCACGAAAAGATGTGTTGTCTGCATTGACCCCCCTTTTCTTTTTTGTTGTCATAACACATTGCTACCTGTACTGTCATGAACGTGCATTATGCAATAGCCATACTCTCTTCATCTCTGTCACCATTTCAAACAGCGGCACGTTTTGATGCTTTCCATTAAAATAGAAGTGAACCCATGCCTGGCGGTGTCAATGAATAGGTACATACATTTATTTCGATAGGGTAAAAGCTCGTGATCGTGGCCATAGCTGCCCATTGAGAAGCATACTTGTATGGGCTATCACCATATTGTCCCCTTGTGTCCAGCCATCCAGTCTGCTGTGGTTTAACATAAACATGAAAGGTTAATTAACAGGCTGACGTAGCCTTTTAATGCGTGACAGCATTCATTGATAAACTGAAGGTATGTTGAGTGTATCATTTCCTGCATAGAAACCAGCTGCAGGAGGATAATGGAGCTGTGAAGAAACGGCGTTACACAGTGCTCGAGTAAATTTCAAGAAGCCTGCAACCGCCTGTTTTGCAAGAAACAGTTGTCTAAAAATATTTTCCACATAGGGCTCCAGTACAGTGGTTTATTTGACATTGTTTTCGTGCTTCCCGTAAACTGTGTAGGGCCTTCAGGAAAACAAAAAAAAAACAGGCCAGAAGGCACATGATAGTACAGGCCTACACACTAGCAGTGGTGGGTAAAAAGTAGGGCCATAAAAGAAGCGGGTCACAACACATCATAGCACAGGCCTACACATTAGCAGTGGTGGGATAAAAGTTCGAATAGCTCATGCCAAGTGACACGTGAGCAGGTGCCTCGCTGTCCCACAAAACACTGATTCATGGAAATCTGTGGCATGTGTTACCGGTCTGCTTGTTTAATTCACCTTGAATTAATTCAAAATGAAGGCGAAAAGAGAAGTACAGACAATGCAGCAGTAAAAGAGCCCGTCAATGTAACATTACATTGAACAAAGTGGCAATGAAGACAGACACAAATAACACAAATACCCTATCAGTAAAGAAGCAGTTAATAAGTATCACCAGGCTTTTTACCTCCACAGTATGTAAGCAAGCTTAGGTGCCCCGAGAATTTTTTTAAATTGCACATAAGTTGCTGTTTTGGAGCAAGGCCGGCCCTTACAGTAGCACGCAAGCCATAATGGTGTGAATATTAGTAGCAACAATAACGCCAGTGGTGCAGTTTGGTGTGCTTCATGGCATAAATAAGCAAGCCTATGCCTCCGCGAAATTAGCATGAAGCACACAGACGCTTCACACTGGAGGGCCTCACGCTCATTTGTACTATTTTTCCCCAGCGTGGTCAAGTTATGCACGTGAATGATGTACAAAGAAAGAGGGTAGACTGTTCTTGTTAACGCGGAACAAAAATGCACAAACCTCATACATAAACATCTTTGTTGTAGAAAAGGCAATTTACAGGCACAGAAGCAAAACTCTGGTGGGCTACTTCTACTGGCTTGAAGTATTTATGGTATGACAGAACACACGCACAAGCTTGAAAACATTTTCTAGCTTTACTTTACCAGTTACTGGAAATGTAGGGAAGCAAGTAGCTGGAAGTAAAAAATTTGCAACGTTCTATGAATTCCGTGAAGAAACTCTGGTCAAATGGCACGGAGATTTGTCGGCACTCTTCCTTGCTGTAAACAAACAGCACGCAGGTGTTCAGACCAGTCACTCCCATCTGCACTTGCACCTGAGTATAATAGCCACTACTTTTTTTTAGTTCCCCAGCACGCAACTGCCTTTTGGCAAAATCTTGAATTTTTAGGGGCACTTTGATCTCAAGCAGCCGTGGTGCGCAACATTTACACTTCACGAGCCCATCTGGGCTTGCACCTAGAAAAGCGTGATGACGAGAGAGGAAGAGGCCAGTTTCAGTCACCTCAAGCTCCACGTGGCTGTCATTTTTGTCCTGAAAGGCTTTCCTGGCTTCAGGTTCACACAGCAGGCCTCTCTTCATGGCAAATGTTGCCCTGCCTTTCTTTTTCCCAACCACTGCTGCGATGAGACGTCGGGGATCATGCGGCCCCATTTTGGTTTGGCACGTCCTGACCCATGTGTAAACTCTATGCGCTACAGATGCAGTGATCAGACCCTCCCTATACATATGCCAAAGGAGGCAAGCACTTTGCAGTCGTGTGGCTGCCTCTACGGCTGTAACTTCTTCGTCTGTGTATGACAGCAAAGCATTCCCCTGTTTGGCTCGCTCCAGCCACCTTAAAGGTAGCCCAGCCACATCTTCGGTAGCGGGGCTCTCAACTTTTCTTTGTTTTTCGGGAAGAAAGTCATTTGCTTCAAGTAAGTCTGCGAAGCAATCGAGCCCACATTCTTTGAAGTTTCCATGCAAGTTTATGAGGCTCAGTGTTGACAGATTCGAGTCTTGTGTTCTCAAGCATGAGTAGGCTGCTCGTTTATTGTGAAGCCTTGGTGCATCACTGATTTTTTCAGTGGTGTCCTTGGAGAATACAATCTGTTGAAATTTGCTCAGTCACTTTTTTTGGATCCCGCGGGTTGTACCACTGCCGTTCACCTTCAGTGCATGCAATGGCATTTGGTACTTCAGTGAGATCATGTTGCGCAATGTGCATCAGCCCGTACAAAACGCAGCAAACATGTTTGCAGACACCACCTTTCCCAGCAACACATGAGCAGCTGCCACTGACAAGCTCCCCATCACATTTAAGCAACTTCACCCCAACACTGTACACTGTCCGTGTTGCCATGGATGCCAGAACTTGTGCCTTCACCACGGTCTCTGCGGTGTCTTCAGTTGAAAACACCAACTTTTGCAGGTGGCTTGATGTGAAAAGCCGCAGGCCAGCATCTCGATGTTTTCTAGCGCCTTTACTTTCAGTGTACCTGCATGAAGAATAAACGTTCACGTTTACATGCTGTGCAGGACTTTTTCCTTCCAGAATATACATTTACACATTCCACCCTTTAGTTAACTGTTGCATAATAAAAATAATCCCACTTTCAGGCCTGCAGAAACAGCTGAAGAAATTTTTGTAATTGTACTTGGCTAGAACAGTTGGCATGAGTACATTCCTGTGCATAAACACCTTTTCATTCCCTACACAAATTTGCACACTCCCACTTTTTGTCCATTGTGCAAGTTCTGAAGATATAGAACTAAAACTAAATTTAAGAAGACTGTCTACTGCAATCAGATATGTAAAAAACTTCATTTTAAAGTGACCTCAAATTGTAACAGCAAAATGGTTGGGAGCTGCGCTAGTTGGCACGTATTCGGATGGGAATCAGTGGAACTTTGTCGGAAACACACGGCACACTGTTGACTTTGTGATTGGGAGCGACGGAAGTAATAGCCGGCGAGAACAAACTTTCAGGAAGATGGGGACGATCGAGTAAAGTCGGGCTCGACTCGATCTGGGCGCTTTGTTACGTGGTCTGAAACTTCACGAAATAATGTGAGGGGAATGGAGGAGAGAAATGCCAGCTTTAATTATTCATTTCTCAGCAATCAAGAGTTGTTGGTCATTGAATAAAAGCTGAGAAAGCTACAAATGGCGTTATTTTCCAGCTAAACACAAAGTTACTCAGACCCGCCGCGGTTGCTCAGTGCCTAAGGCGTTGTGCTGTTGAGGGAGAGAATGCAGGTTCGATTCTCGGCCGCGGCGGCCGCTTTTCTGATGGAGGTGAAAAGCAATAACGCCTGTGTTTTCAATATTCCGGCGCACGATAAAATCCCCAGGTGGTGAAAATTAATACGGAGCCCTCCACTACGGCGCGCCTCATGCCTGCATTGCATCGGCGGATTAAACCACACAATCAACAAAGTTACTGAGCCTGTAGCGTACCACTTTAATAAAGAGAAGAATTTTTGCATACTACAGAGCCTACAAGATGGGTAGAGGTTTGTGGCACTAGGAATAGTTCAAGAAACGTTACACTTTCTGAAACATTTGGGTGTCAGCATGCTCTTTTTTTCCCAAATAGCACTCATCAGTTTTAGAGAATCATGACTGCCGAGTTAAGTTTGCATACCTGACAATGTGCTCCTTTCCAAAGTATGGGTTCAGGGAGCTTGTTTTGCAGGTCCACCCTTGACTGTTCTGGTTGTGTAATACAGATGCCATGGCACAGCATTACACGGAGCTGCAAAAAAAAAACAGAGCCTGAAGGTTAGTTTAATTTGAACATAGCCAGCTAAACTTTCTGCTAAGCCAATACACTTTCTTAGATTACATATTTTTATCAGGGCGTTACCCTCTATTGGTGGAACATACAAACATCTGCATGCTGCGTACTCTATAAAAGAATCCCGGGCAGTGTCAGACAGTCGGTGCCCGTTGTCCACGCAGAAGCCAGGCCAATGAACCAGCTGCACGTATTAATAACATAATATGCCTCCACTGCATGATGCTCGTACCCGATGAGTAGTAGTAACGACGTGTGGACTAGTTGGTGTGGTAGCATCATGCAAAAAGCACAAAAAACAATGAAACGCAGCAGTAGTTCTCATGAGAAGAAAAGAGAAGAAATCGCTCGCCCTGTTTTCAGGACCTTACCAGTACCAAATCTTTAGTCACATGATAGTAATCCCATGACAGGGACTGCACTTTACTAGTGCTGAGATAATCTTCACTGTTGCACATACTGCACACAGTAAATACTCTTAAGAGAAAAAAGCTTAGCGAAGTAGAAATTACAAAGCCCATAAACAACAGGGCTATAACAACGAAAAAAAAATAGCAGCAATGAAATAACGCAGGACCACGACAAAAGCCATAATAAAAACGCAATCCATGAAAAGAATATTGATTATTTAAAAATGCAGCCAATGCATTACTGTACCGCAAGAATGCAGTTTTCTAGGCGATGCCGTCCTCCAACCACACGAACCTGCAGCTCTCTGGTAACTGCATGTACAGAGGTAAATACTGTTAACAACGCACGAACGCGTGGCTTTCGATACGTGCAGCACAGCCTGCTGATAGCCACTGGCGTAACCAGCGATATTAGGTGACGGCGCTGCGGCGGCTTGGCATGCGAAAGCTATTGCCCATGCTTCCTTTTTTTGTTGGGGGGGGGGGGAGGCAGGGAGAGATTCGACACCAGAAGTCCCTCACCACGACCGTCGCCAACACATAAAATAAACGATATCTGACGCTGATAACCAGCGAAGTCTGGATCATTTTCGCCTTTGGTATGGTTACTACGTTCCCCTTTCTTTATTTCAGAACTATATACCAAAGGCAATAAAAAGACAGCACTAGTTATCAGGGTAAGATGACGTCCCTCGTTGGCTCCGTATCCTTACTTGCGGCTCAACCGACAAGTGCGAATGACTGATGAATGCGTATCACAGCTGCTAATGGAGAGCGGCGCGTTTGCATATTCACGTGCGCGAAACATGGGACGCTACAATGTCAAGAGTTTTCAAAATATAGCGACCGCGTCGTTCGGTGGACTAAAATCAGAACGCCACCCAAATTAAGAATTTCAAATATTATTACTACGAAATGCTGTATGTTGAACGCGACACTCGTGCACGTAAGTGCCGTAAGACACGAAAGGTTCGGCGCCGCATATAAAGCCTGTCCCCAACAGCACGTCACTGTGCAAACAAACGTGCAATCCCCGAGATGCACATGCGAAAAAAACAGTCGCGCAGAACAACCGCTTACATACATCACTCAAATGAAAACGGTACTCAAAAGGCAATGAACGGGTGGCTGTCCTAAGTCCCGCCGAAACGAAGGAGTAGCAGGCACTTATGACCGAAATTCGCGCCGCCTGCTCCCATTAACAGACAATGTAGGTATTGAAAATACTCACATGACGACTTTTTCTTGCTGGTGAAATCGGAGAGACGTCCGCGAAGCTCCGGCGCAGTACTGAAAAAGCGGCGGCCACTGCGTAGTCGCTGTAGTCTGGTTGACCGATTGACTACAACTAAGATGGCGGCGGGGCAACTCCGGAAAACCGGCGCATGCGCTGATCGGCTGGTGGGATCGGTCTATTGGTCGACTTCCTCGTGGCGACTGCAGCGTAGACACGAGCGTAAGACAGTGAACAGCGTTTATTGAGAGGGAGGCTTTTTGTAGCCTTTGGAGGGTATGCGCATACAACGTGCACAGTGGCAGTGACATGTGCTAATGACGATGCACCACAGAGCACCTGCAATTTTGACAGATTCAGGCAGGGTACCTATTTTTTGACAAAATCAGGCAGAGCAATTACTCTATTACCACGCGAAATTTCGCCAGGGAGAATTTCGCCAGAGAGAATCACGCTTATTGTTAACACATGCAAGCACATAAGCAATCACGATGTCGCTCAGCTAAGCGCTGGGGTGCGAGCTAAAATCATAGCCGCAGTGCACACATTTCAAAGGGGGCGAAATACCCTGCACTTAGGTTTCGGTGCGTTTTGAAGGAATTCAGGTGGTCATAATAATATGGTGTCTCTTACAAAGGTATATTTGATAATCCCACCCTAACGCTTACACGTAAAAAAACACAGAAAATTTACTATTGTTGTTTCGTTTCATTTGAAACCAACTTGTGTCAAAAAGGTAGCACAATCAAATCCCCAGATGTATTGAGGCTCTAGCGTTCTTGGGAACATGAAAATCAAGTAATTCTGAATTTCTTCTTCGTCGATGTTTAACCATTCATCATAGTACAATTGAACCTATAACTTTTGATCGATAGCTAATTTATGCGATGTCTTTCATATTGAAAGTTGAATATATATCTGTGATTACCGCTGAAAGTAGGCAGAAGACACTGGGGAGACGTGCATTCGCAACTTAGCTAAAACTAGTAATATTAGAGATTATGTGCGGTCTTATTTAATTTTTTTAGGCTCTGGCTTTAGATATAGTTCAGAGAGCATCTTGTATGTATACCTACCTTTATTAGATGCTGTTATTGAAAACATTTTGGCAGCAGCCAAGTAAGTGGAGGGACCGCCTTCCAGAAGAGATGACTGAATGCCTAAATTTCGCTTATTTCAAATCGAATGCAACCTAACTATTGACCAAAGAATTGTATGAGCATTCAAACCAGTTCATTATTTTTCTTTGCAGATGACGCTACACCAGAGGAAGGCACATTTTACTACAGTGACTACAAAAAACTGTGGAATCCTTGAAATGCCATACAACGGAGGCCGTAAGTACAAATAAAAATATGCGACATGTTCCATCTGGTGTAATATCTCGTCTTTTCTCATCGAAATTGGCGCATCTGAGCCAAATGCACCCTGTCCTCGGAAGTTTGGGCATTTACATTTGGACCATTACCATTTAACGCAAGTCAAAACCTAATCAAAAACTGGTAATGCTGTAAACGCTGCAGCGAACTTTTATACCAGTGGGGTTCTCCGTCAGCGACTTTCTACACTCACGAATTTTCTCCTGAGTTTCTGCCTTCTCTTAAAAGTCTGTTGCAACTGTGTTGTCGCCAAATGAATGGTTCCCTTAAACGTCTAGAATGTGACGCCACTTCTTTGACATGCCCTTAACGATTACTGAAATGCTGAAAGAAATAAGCCGATATTTGAAACGTGGTAAAGAACTAACAGCCACAATCTGCGGATGAACAGTAAATTTCAGGCCAAAGGCTACAAGGCAAGCTTTTGATACGGTTGAGCGTATGCACATGCGCTCAAGCACTGCAGTTTCACTAAGGAGACTTGTGAGGTTAAGAACATCGACGTGTACTTGTTAACCGGCATTCATTAACTGATGTTTCCGGGTCGAGGCATGCTAGGTTATAAATGACGGAGTCATGTCAGGAACTAGCACAATATTTTTTACATTGCTTGCAATACTTTTTAAATAAAAAGCATCTAGCAAGACATCATTAGGCAACATCAGTCCTGACTGTTACAGCACAAGTAATACTGACACGCAATAATTTCGGTTCTGATGGTTCTTACCTTTGCAGTCAGGTAACCAATATCTACCAGTAATGGGTCAAACGAATGACACCGTACTGTCACTCCTAACAAAGAGCATTCAGTAAAGGCAATGTCCTCAATTAGTTCATATTACCTAGCGATTTGAATTTATTTGCTTTGGTCGTAGTCAGTGTGTTATTTTGATTGTATCGATTGCAGAACATTAATGAAGGGTACCTAAAGTCCTAGTGATCTGAGGGGTGACAGAAATTAACGAACAATAACAACGTGCTATTCCTTAGCCGACGCATGCGAAAGCTCGTGTGTATTTCCCTTCTCTCAACTATTGAAATTGTGCAGCATATTTTATCCTTATTTGTCAATCTGACTGTGTACAATGCGAACACAATTTCAGAGTGCATATTGTGGGTATCAGAAGAAAGCAAGGACTCGTCTCCTCAAGAATGTTTGGACAAGTTCCAAGAATATTGCGGTGAAGCTGTGCCATTGTACAGCAAAGAGATTAGCGCAGACAGTGAAGTGCAAAGCTGGTGACTTAAGTTCTTTAGGTATTATATTTTTTCTTATTGACATCATGCATAGAGAGACGCACCTAATAAAGCCTAATAAGCAAACCAAGTTTCGGCCTAGCACTGTGGTCTGTGTTAGAGGGCGCAACACTAGTTATACAAGACAGGAATTTAAGCCCTAGTTTGCCTGTTCCGTAAGCTTGTGCACCTGATGGAATCTTCTGTTCGGTAACTAGGCATAAAAAATACATTGCTCATTGCCTTCTTTCCAGCTATTTTCATTCCATGCCTAGTTTCAACCATACGCAAAAAACACATAAGAATTGTTTCTATCGTTTGAACCTGATGTTGCTGGAAAATTCTCACGCAACTTCTAAGTGGGCAGCATTGCGACGCCATTGATCAACATGTTCAGCCCATGTTTAAAAAGTGCCTAAGAGTCGTAGATGATACAGACCATAAAATAAGGACCAATACTTTCTGATAACGTGGTTCAGTTTAGAAAAATTCAGAATTTTTTATTTCAACACACTTGCGCATGGCGCTTCTCGTTCTCCAAGACAGCACAAAGCGAACACTGCGAAATTGTAATGAACACAAAAAAATTCGGTGGATCTCACGTACCTGGAAATCAACTTTATGCGAAGCACGCGGAGGGAAGGTGACCGTGTTGAATTTGTTTTTGTATTAGAGTGACACGTCATGAAATGACGCTAAATATAGGTACAAACGTTGCACGCAAAAACATGTGTTGAAGAGAACATGTGGGATGAGGAGTTGCAGATGTTTATGTAACCAGTTCTCCACTTGCACAACGATGTCAGCTGGAATTGTGTTTTAGCAATGCGAGAGGCTGATATGATTGGCTGATGCACGCGAAAATGCTGGCCCTTGACACTGCTACTTTAATTAATTTCAGCGCATGGTACCTCACCACCACTGGTGTTATCCCAACGGAACGGCTGTATGAAAGAAGTACATATGTAATGTTTATAAATTTCGGTAGGAAGCACTGCAATTACTATTGACGTTTCACGAAGATTAGCGTTTGTTTGAATAGTAGTTCCGAGACCCATCGTAGCTCTGTAGTAGAATGCTTGACTGCCACGCAGAATGCTACGGTTCTATTCCTCCTGGGACCCTGAAGTTAATTATTTGTATTAGTCGGTCGGCCAACGCTGCTTATTTCAGTTTTTTTCTTAACACTGACATTTATGCTATGCCTTCGTTGGGTCGGCGCTATCGATGTCGGGTATTGCTTAACGCTGACGCGTTAAAATTGCCAATGTGTGTTCTCGTCATTCTGGGTAGATACTAAGTGTCAATCACCTGTGGCACATACCCGCTTACCAGCAGCACATACCAACCCTCAAGTGTGTTCCACTGTCTGGCGGGAAGTGTTTGTCAACGTACGCGACAGGGATTGTGACATTATTCATGTTTCGACTAGCGCATCATATTCGTCAAGCCATCTTACCCTCCTGTGCTAATTTTGATTCACGCGAAGTTAGAAGGGTGACCATGAGAGCATCCATACATAAGTGTCTAGATAGATAGATAGAAAGATAGATAGCTAGATACGCTCTAATTCGCTAAAGTTCGCTAAGAAATGCTTCTAATTTATCTTAAGATAATAGCTCTTGTCTGAGAGGTCAATTGACAGATCGCTTAACCAGCCACCTCTTGATGTGAGCCGACAGATGGAAAAAATGTAGTAGGATAATCATAGGCTGAACAGGTGAATTGCCTCAGACTGGCTGGCCAACGTTTCGATAGGACCTATAATTTTTCAAAGACGCCGTGTCATGGTTTGAGGTGTTAGTTTTAAAGGGGTTAGTGTTGACGTCATCTCATGGTGGTGGCGCCAGTCCCTGTTGATGATCGACGTCTAAAAAGCAAAATACAATAAAGCAGAAGAGTGCAGTCCTCGCTTCACTTCAAGTCAACCACCTTTGTGCCATGAATGAGAATGTCCTCAGAAATTCAACTAGATTGATAATATCTGTTGTAGTAGTGTCAAAAATACTTCGTTAATAAATTCAGTTAAAACTTCCCTGTCCCGTCTGCATTATTTGTTTTGTTCATACGTTTTTCACGCTTCTGCGACTGGCACAAATAGCTGAACTGCCCGACTCATGAAATAGAAGATCCCCAGGACACGCTAACGCCTTGCTGTTGCACCTCAATTGCTCTAACTCCCACTTCCTAGACTATATTTAGCTAAATCAGAGTCTGGGGCAACGCACGGATGTAATTTTGTGAGTTTTGTACGGTGGCGCTGCAAAATTTTCTAGTGCCACAAGCCGGAAGAGCAGCAGCACTTTGGCTTACTTTGGGAAGTTTAGCCTACATGCTCGTATAGCCTACACGCTTCGTTAGGTAAAGCAGAAACCGCATCAATCCTCAAGGTGGGAATATAACAAGCGAGAGACAAAGCCGAGTCTCTTTATGTTTATACCCTCGAGCAAATTGCGAAGAGACGAGATTTTGGGTTTAGCGGATTTTATTTGACGAGGCGTTTCGTCAGCCTATCACACAGTGGGGCAACTCACAGACTTCCTTAATATATGTTTCGAAGATT